GAGAGCAAGTTACCCATAACTATGATAATGACTTTCAGTGAGGATTTTAAGCCTTGATCTTCATGGTTCTGTCAGTAAATGTAGCTTCAAAATTACCTACATGCTCATTTCCACTTTGTTTCAGCAAATTCAAACAGCCTCAGGGTACGTGGATATTAATTCTCGTGTTCCATTGTTTAATGCATCAGGCTTTAACCGGTTGCAGATAGTTAACAACTTCACAAGGTTACATTTATGGTATCACCAAAATACTTTTAGGCACTAAGTCTCACGTCGGTTAGAACTCAACCTATAGAGTCCTTTTGTCATGTATAATGAACTCAAGCCTACAGAAACTGAGAGGTCATTTCAAAGTATTCATATTAAATAGAAAAAAGGGAATCTTTTTAATATGTAGAACATTCCTATTCAGAGGTCATATGCAATTCATCAAATTACCATAAATACATTTTTCTCTAAATCTTCTGCAGACAATGACTGCCTAAAGGCTTGCATTCATGAACATGGCTTATGACTGCATTTCATCCTTCATGCGGCTTTGTTGTCTCCCTTTGCAGTTTTTTTTTATTATTATTCTCTCTGCTATTAATTTTGTATTCAGAGAGTGAAATGTAGCTTGACTGAATTGACAAATACTTCTGGAATATAGCAGTGTTTCACAAGTCTATTGTAGAAGACTCAATGGGAGCGTTCACTGTAGGAGCGTTTAATGCAGAAACCATGAAGACAGCAACTATATGACAGGAGGATAATGACAACTGAGGGATGACAGGGAACGATTGGAAATGACAGGGGACGACAAAATGATAACAACTAGACTAAGGGTTAACTGAAAACTAAAATAACAAATGGGTGTAAATAAACTGTGACTTTTGATAGTAGAGGATCTTCAAAGCAGTGGCTGCTGGTGGAGTTTTCTCCAGGGGGGGCTATAAATTCAAAATAGACATATATCAAAAGCAATGTAAACAATACAGCTGCGTTCAAATGTATGGGCTGTGTCTTCCAAGGATGCGGCCTACCTGGACTGGATCCTTCTAAGTCCTTGAAAATAAGAAGACGGGAAAATTTGGGGCTTTGGTGTTTTTAACCGCCGTACGCTCTGTCACCTAGCAAACGTGACAGTTGACTCACAATGCAGGAAAACAATGAATACTGAACATTTCAAAACTGTTTCTTTTTAGTTTTTTTTTATTTTTTTTATTGTAAAGTGAAAAAAGACTACACTCATGAGAATACAGAGTGGAATAAAGGTGACAACCACCAGGAGCATAAACAAATAAAAGCAAATGTAATGATTTAAACCTTAGCCTTTTAAATAAAATGCTGTTGTAATTTTGGACATCGCTGATGTTGCTGCTATTTTCAAATATCCATTACTGTAAAAATGTCCATAGCTGTATAATGGTTCTTTATTCTCCAGGTGCACAGTTTTATATTGTTAAAACACTTTACATTACAGTATTTTATTGTTAATCTCTTCACTATTATGTTATTCTTATAAATTGTTCTAAGGTCCACATATGTGTGAAATTTTTTTCCTATAATCTTTTTGCTGCTGTAAACACCAGAATTTCCCCATTGTTGGACAATAAAGGGATTTACTATTCTATTTTATAAAACTGGTAAAAAGATATAAGTAAACCTTAACAGTGTATGCATAAAAAAACATATCTGCAAAATCTCTTATATTTAACAACAAAAGCAATTTACACAAAATAGCATTTAAAAAATAAAAATAACCTCAGATTTATAGTCCCCACACTGCAGATATATTAGAATCTCCCCTTAAATTACAGCAAAACCATTCACACAGTAAGAGATAAAAAAAAAAAAAAGATACATCAAACATTACCTGCCACATATTTGACTCATAAACATTTAAAACAACTATTTTCATAAATTTCAGATGGAACTATTCACATACTTCCATTATAGTATACTGAACTTCCAATATTCACCGTTCGGCACCAAGTACCTTTTTCCACTGATCACGGAGCAGCTGGCTTGCTTGGACTCGCAATGAATCCTGGGAAAACCAAGGATAGATGGGATACAATAGACCCATCCTTCAAATCAGGCAAAAAGAAGAACACATTTGTAGGCCGCATAACGTGGAGTCTTGGAAACCCGACCAGACCTCGGCGCTGCGCTATGACATAATCGCCCTTCGAATCTGGCTTGCGGAGGAAGCATCCCTTAAATTCGAACGCAGCTATAGAACAGATTTTTGAGCCCCAGGGTGGAAATAAGTCACCAATCCGATGAAAATTGAAAACGGCTTTATTCATCATTAAAGATTAAATATTTATCTTGCACATCTAAAAAAATATATATCAATATATTTCAAAATTTTTGAATTGAATTTTGATTCATATATTTTTTGTCTCTCAATCAAGGTCATTGTTTGGGTGGGGCTGCGCCTTAGCACCCTCTATTGGCCAGCCGCCACTGCTTCAAAGTAGTTTGTTTAAAGTAGGCTATTAAATGAAGTCTGATTACTAATGCAAATGTTTGACATTGCTGGATGTTTTCAACATTTTTACTTCACTGTTTTCTTACAAAAAATAATAAAGAGGCTTTAAACTTCATAATGACAACATGCCTTTTTTCCTTTCTTTTAAATGGTCCATTCTTTAATGATGAGAGGTCGAACATGTGATATGTGACTAATGAATGACATCAACCAGCTTCACACAATATCTTTTGTATGTTGTGTGGACCAAATGCAGATTTAAGATACAATTAATAGAAATATGATGTAATGCAAGCTCTCCAGAAAAATGTAAGGAAGTTTGAAATTAAATATAAGAATATTGGTATCTACCTTATTTAGTCATTAAACTTGAAGAGAAATAAGGACAAGGTTGAGTACAAGAGGATGAAGTGGTTGTTGAAATGACTTAGGATGGGTAGAAATTGAGAAAAGAGGGAGAAATGAGAATCAACTGATAGCCAATTCTCGTTTGTTGTGTTATGGCTGTCATTAAGAAGATTTTCTACCACCGGTGACTTCTTTAACCTTATAGAAGAATCTTTTTCTTTTGTGTTTAACGTACAAGAACATTATTTTCACAATGTTCGACATCATATTCGTTCTTGCCTTCTCTGTGAAGTTTTGTTATTGCAGGCTTAAGGAACTTTTTTTGTTTTGTTTAATTGAGATATTTTCACAGCATAGAAACTATTTCAAAAGGCAGGCAAAATACCAGTGGGCCCTTTAACTTGCTGGCATATGACTAACAAAAGCAGACCCACACATAATTCATCTCTCAAGTAAAATACTGAATCATAATTTAATAATGTGAATGAAGTGATGTTCATTTATAAAAAAAAATATTCTTCGTTCTTTTACATTACATTGTCCATGTATCTCACCGTTAGTCTTAATGTCATGGCTTAGCTAATAGGATTTCCAGAATTTAAGGAAATCAAAAATGTATGCATGCAAAAAATATAAGGTGACTGAGTTTTCATTATTTATTTATTTAAACAGTAAAAAACTTTGGTGGGTTAAAACGCATATAACATTCTCTGGTATATATTTCAAAAATAAAGTATAGGAAAATAACCCTTTCCATCCATCCATCCACTTTTGAAACATTAATTTTTCTGCGCATGAAAATGTACATTTTTCCTTCTAATAATGTTTTTGATCTCTTTACCAATCTATCAATTAACTTATCCAGCTGGTTAAACTTCCTATTTTTCCATACACCCTGCTGTCTGTCCTCACAGTGATGCTTTTTACAAGTTTAATCCTATGAGATCTGTTGTGTGTAGAAACGACTTAAATGAATTAGAAGTTTTCAGTTTAATAATGGGCATACAAAGAATGAAGGATACTGGAAATGTGTCTGAAAAACGTTCAGCTTTACACATTCAGAAAAATGTCAGGGAATAATTTAGTTGTGTAACATATAAAAGCCACCTTCATAGTTTTTAGTAACACATGACACCATTTCTTCATCATACAGGTAGTGGCAGGTGCAAGGGGTAAGCAAACGAAGTTCACCCAGACATTTCTGAGGGTTTTTGATAAACTTTTGGTCAATAGAGGGCGCCCGTAAGCAGCGCTAAAAAATCACTGCTGGAATTCAGCCTTTCTGTCGTCTGTTGAAAGGTGCAGCTGCTGAGCCTGACTCCCTCCTTTCTTCTCCTCCTCTTCCTACCCCTGTCTCGCTATCCCTCATTCCTTTACTCACTCATTACGGCCGCTCACTGTATAATTTCACACACAAACACGCAGCGCGGCACCGGAACCACAGCTATTACAAGAAAAGTTGAGGAAATCCTCACGCACAGTAAAAAACGCAAAACTGTCCTTTCTTTTTTCTCTGACTAAAGGAAACCCGCATTTTTTTTTTTCTCCTGAAGGAAATGAACTGAAAAGTTTTATCTTTAAAGACGATATGTAAATCTGTGTGATCATTATAATTTAAAAGGTATTTGTATCTATTTATCAGGGAGGTGGTTTGCGCAACAACCACTAAGATGGTCTCGGACGTCTATGTAAATGAATTCATAGCCTATATACAGCTTAGTGTCAGATTCCTGCAGGCTGAGTTGACTGAGCAGCGTGGATGCAGCCGATGGCGACCACACGCATATCTGGGCTTATATTAGTAGGAACCACACCGCTGTGCGTCCTGCTGCTGCGGGTGGCTTTCCTGTCTCCATAAACTACGATCCAGATCCTTGGAGTGCGTAAAAGTCTCAGTTTCTTTTATTTTTGTTGAACATCAACATAAAAAAAATAAAAAAACAAATCCCCGATGCCCTAAAATGATACAAATGTTGCGTTGAAGTCATCTTTTGCGTCATTTCGGAAAAAAGAAAATCCTGATGGGGGGGGGGGGGGGGGATTGAACCCGAATATTATTAATATACATGTTTGGTTTAAATCGTCTGACCTGACGACTGTGGTATGTGCGATGCCAGTATAGAGAGAGAGAGGAAAGGAGGGAGAGAGGAAGAGAGAGAGAAAGAGACTGCAATATCATTTGAGAATCCCTCTCACAGTGCTGCAGATAGGGGCTGCCAACACATGCGACGCGTCTGCAGGTGAGAGAGAGAGAGAGAGAGAGAGGGAGAGTGGAAGAGTATACGCTGAACATGCAGAATGCCAAGAGGATTTCAACCTAAAAGCTGCGTCGGATATACACTTTTTTCCACTTTATCTGTTGTTTTTCCTTTTAAACTAAGCCCAGATCTGTGTTGAACAAATACATATATTTCCCGGTATATGTTGGAGTCGAGGAGACGAGGAGGATTGATCTTGATGAAGAAAATAGGAAGGAAAAGAGAAGGCAGGCACACAATCTACTGCATATCCTTTTGAGATCAAGCGGAGCTGAGGAGCTCCGCGCGCAACGCTGTAGTGGGATGAGTTCGGACGCTGATCGGGCATCTCATTTAAACGCGTCCCTGGTGTCTTTGGACTAAAACATCAGGGCAGACACAAGAAGAGTTCAGCTCACCCGTTCCTCATTCTCAAAATACAAGAGAAGAGATTCTGCAAAGTGGGTGAAAAAGCGCGAGCGACACGGACTGCGTTGCACTTTGAGTTGATGCTCAGGACTGTTGCACTTGGGCGCATTCGGGAGCGCACGGAGCCAAACCACTGTCTCTGTTTTTAGAATAAATAAATCAAGGTAGAATACCCCCCCCCCCCCCCCTCTTCTTCTTCTTTTTTTTTTTTTTTTTTTCACTTGCTGCTTTCGACTGCAGCAAAGACGAGAGGATGAATGCACCCGCATCCTAAAGAAAAAGAAAAGTAAATGACAACAAGATTGCTGTTTTGTATTTAAACTGCATACTACATACATTTTGGGACTTTTTTTTTCATTTTGTTATTTTTTGCTTGGACATCTCTGCAAGACTGAACAATGAGGACTACTGCAGCAGTGGACTGTTTGTACTATTGCATGCTCATATTGCAGCTTGTGCATCAGCCTGCTGCGAGCAAGCAAGTGCTCCGGTACCGCTTGGCCGAGGAGGGACCCGCCGATGTCAGAGTTGGCAACGTAGCTGGCGACCTGGGCATCGTGGCCGGGTCTGGCGAGGTGACGTTCACCCTCGAGTCCGGGTCGGATTTTTTTAAAATAGATAACATAACAGGTGAGCTCACCACCAATGAGAGGCGGATAGACCGTGAGAAATTACAGCAGTGCCAAATGATATTTGATGAGAACGAATGTTTCATTGATTTTGAGGTGTCTGTAATTGGACCGGCACAGAGTTGGGTCGACCTCTTTGAGGGAAAAGTCATCATATTAGACATAAATGATAACACCCCATCTTTCCCCTCGCCAGTCCTCACACTATCTGTGGAGGAAAACAGACCCATTGGAACCCTTTATCTGCTGCCCACAGCCACAGATAGAGATTTTGGCAGGAATGGAATAGAGAGATATGAGCTTATTCAGGACAATGGAGAGAACTCAAGGCGCTTGGGGTCTTCTGGGGATTCTTACTCTGGGAAAAGAAGATTTGAAGAAGGTGCAAGCAGGAGCAGTGTCTTTGAACTGCAAGTTGCTGACACTACTGATGGAGAGAAGCAGCCCCAACTCATCATTAAAGGGGCCCTTGACAGAGAACAGAGAGACTCTTATGAGCTCACCTTGCGAGTTAGAGATGGAGGAGATCCCCCACGGTCATCTCAGGCCATTCTAAGAGTAATGATCACAGACGTGAATGACAACAGCCCGCGGTTTGAGAAGGGTGTGTATGAAGCTGACCTGCCAGAAAACAGCTCCCCTGGTGCTCCGATTCTTCAGCTTAAAGCTGCTGACGCAGACGTTGGGGTAAACGGTCAAATTGAATATGTGTTTGGGGCAGCCACAGAATCCGTGAGGAGGCTGCTGAGGCTGGATGAGAGCACTGGGTGGCTTAGTGTGTTGCACCGCATTGATCGTGAAGAAGTTAGCCAACTGAGGTTCACAGTAATGGCCCGTGACCGAGGCCAGCCGCCCAAAATGGATAAGGCCACGGTGGTGCTAAACATCAAGGACGAGAATGACAATGTCCCTGCAATTGAAATCCGAAAAATTGGACGTATTTTTCTAAAAGACGGTGTGGCCAATGTAGCTGAAGATGTGGTGGTTGACACGCCCATTGCATTAGTTCAGGTGTCAGATCGAGACCAGGGAGAAAATGGCATAGTAACCTGTACAGTAGTAGGTGATGTGCCATTTCAGCTCAAACCAGCCAGTGAGATGGAAGGAGAACAGAATAAAAAGAAGTATTTTCTGCACACATCTGCACCTCTGGACTATGAGGCCACACAGGAATACAATGTGGTCATAGTGGCTGTGGACTCTGGAAGCCCCAGTCTGACAAGTAATAACTCCCTAATTGTGAAAGTCGGCGATACTAACGACAATCCCCCTATCTTTAGTCAGAATGTAGTTGAGGTTTCTTTCCCTGAAAGCAATGCCCCTGGCGAGAGGGTGACAACAGTAAAAGCTGTTGATGCTGACAGTGGGAAAAATGCTGAAATAGCATATTCCCTCGATTCATCTGTAAATGGGATTTTCTATATCGATGCAGACAGTGGAGACATCAGAGTAAACATCATCTTGGATAGAGAGCAAACAGAGCGTTATGAATTTAAAGTGATAGCTAAAGATAAGGGCATAAACACACTTCAGGGTTCTGCGACTGTGGTTGTTCTTGTGGGGGATAAAAATGACAATGACCCGAAGTTCATGCAGGATGTGTTCACTTTCTATGTAAAAGAAAATCTTGACCCAAACAGTCCAGTGGGTATGGTCACTGTGATTGATGCTGATAAGGGCCAAAATGCAGCGATGGGTCTTTTCATTGAAGAAGAGGAGGAAATCTTTTCTATTGAAAATGAAACTGGGACAATTTTTTCTACCCTCTCCTTTGACCGAGAGCAAAAAACTACATATACTTTCCGTGTCAAAGCTGTGGATGGTGGCGATCCACCCAGATCTGCCACAGCCACAGTCTCACTCTTCGTCATGGATGAAAATGACAACGCACCGACAGTCACTTTTCCAATAAACAGCTCCTACACCCTTCTTCCTCCCTCAAGCAACATCAGGACAGTTGTCAGAACCGTCAAAGCCAATGATATGGACACTGGTGTCAATGCAGACCTGAACTACAGCATCATCGGGGGCAACCCTTTTAAGTTGTTTGAGATTGATGGGGGTACAGGGGTCATCTTGCTGATGGCAAAGCTGGAGCCAAAACACTATGGTCTCCACAGACTTGTAGTCCAGGTGAATGACAGTGGACAGCCTTCACAGAGCACCACCACCCTAGTTCATGTATATGTTAATGAGACACTTTCTAATTCCACAATAGTGGAGGCACAGGTGGCAAGGAGCCTGAGTACTTCACTGAACACCAACATTGCTGGTGACCCCAACTATGATCTCAGCAAACAGCGCTTAAGCATAGTAATTGGGGTCGTCTCTGGCATCATGACTGTCATTCTCATCATTCTTGTTGTTGTTATGGCCCGTTATTGCCACCCCAAAAACAAGAATGGCTATGAGGCAGGGAAAAAGGATCATGAAGACTTTTTTACTCCCCAGCAGCATGACAAGTCCAAAAAGCCCAAAAAAGACAAGAAGAAACAAAAGTCCAAACAGCCTCTCTACAGTAGCATTGTCACTGTAGAGGCCTCAAAACCCAATGGGCAACGATATGATGGCGTTAATGAGAAACTTTCGGACAGTCCCGGCATGGGGCACTATCGTTCTGTCAACGGTGGGCCAGGGAGCCCAGACTTGGCTCGGCACTACAAGTCCAGTTCACCACTTCCAACCGTCCAGCTTCACCCTCAGTCACCAACTGCTGGAAAAAAACACCAGGCAGTTCAGGACCTTCCCCCTGCCAACACCTTTGTTGGCACCGGAGATAACATTTCCCTTGGATCTGACCACTGCTCTGACTACAGCACTCAAACCATCAACAAGTACAACAAACAGGTAAGAAGACACATTTCAGTGTTCCTTTGTTTCCTTTCACCACTTCTAAATGTCTTCTGCCTCTCCCTCTTAGTGTTCTCTCTGCCATAATGCTTTCTGACAGTGCTAGTCTCAGTAGTCATGTTGCCTTTATGCTGCTAATCTGTGTCAAGTTAGTGGTATTGATCTGTTTTGGTTTGGAGTGCCATTCACGTGTAATATTGAAAGGGAAAAAGATCTAAGCAGGTTTTAGATAAGATCTGGTTAGGAATACTGTTAACTCTAGACCCAACATGCCCAACTTTTTTGCTTTCATCACAGCATGTGTCCAAACCACCTTACCCGACAGGGGCGTCACAACTGCTAACCTTGAGAAATGTATGTCTGAGTGTTGTGGAGTTCTCACATAAGGACTTGGTTTGCAGTTATTCTATCCCAAAGAGGAGTGTGGCAGGGGGCAGCAACACCCCCTCCCTTCCTTTGCTATGCCGAGCCCTGACCTGCCCTCTGTGTGTGACAAGGCTTCTTTTTTATCTGGCGAAAATAAGAAAATAGAGGATGGTAGAAATAGCCTGCCACATCTTCAAAGCCTTTTTTATCAGTTCAAGTTAAGTTTGCTTTGTGTACGGCCAACAAGCCAGGAAATAATTTATTTATTAGTTTGTTTATTTTTGCTGTCGGGTCTGGATCACCTCACCGACCTAGCAGTTGAAGCAAACTCTATAGTATATCATGATTTTTCATGTCAAATTCTAGATATCCTTTATCTTTGTTTTGCCTGTATACCAACTGTCTACTTTCCTGCCAGTGGTATATCCTACCTTATGCTCTAATCTTATTTTCTTCACTTTTAATCTATCCGGCAACTTAAAAAATTTCTGTTTGCATGGCATTTGGGGTGGCATTTATATACCAGCAAAATTGAGCCGATGTAGACACAGTGTTTTCACATTCTTTTGCCAATATTTCTCGGTTTGTTCACAAACGGGTAGATAAAGATAAAGGTAAAACAGGATGAAACAAGTTGATTTTCATTTCTTGGGAGAAAGAACAATACCCTTGTATACTACGCACTAATGAATTATTGATCTATTTCTTTTTCCCGGTTTTAGTGCTAGTCTTTTAGAATTCAGGAGTATTATTTGCTTGCTTGCCCTTTTTATTCCCTTCTTTTTCACTGCTTGGTTCAATTTCTTTGACTTTCCTCGTCAAACACTACCCAAAAAGAATCTTTGCATACCGATGTCCATTCTTGCTTCCCCTTTTTTTTACACATTTGCTGTTTTCTCCTCATCACACCTTACAATTGAACCTCTTGCGTTGCTCCCAGTCGTGTCTTTTTTAATCTTCACTGTGTCTCTCTTTAACTCTTCTTCCCTCCATTCTTTCTTACACTACCTCTTTTAAATCGTTTCATTCCCCTTTTACGGCCCTCCTTTCTATTCCCCCTCCCGCCCCTGTCTGTTACAGCCTCTAATATGCTGTATTCACTGAACTGCTTCCCAGAGTGTGAGGAGTGCTGTTGCTTTCGGATGTCTCTTGCATAATTAAAAGGGCACTCTATTTGCTGCTGCGGCAGCAGCATGTATTGTGTGTCACTATGCCCTGCGTGTATATTTATTTATTTGTTCTCAACATTACAGTAGCAGGGAATCTTTATGGACTATGGATTTGTGTGAATACGTCTGAAGTCAATTTGTAACAACCAAATACATAAAGCTTGTCATAATCTGTGTTGACATATAATTTCTCTTTACAATGTTGTGCTGCCGGTCTGGTTTTACCTGTTTAATAGTAAGTCAGATATTCAAAAATAATGGTGTTTTTTGATTCATTATTCCGGGGTAAATGTGGCACAGTTTAATGGCGGCAAATTGGAGCTAATTGAAAAGAAGGTCTTTGCTCATGTGGTCCAATTATGGCATTTAAAACGGTTCTGTTTTTAAAAGATCAAGAAGTGAAGTGGTCAGGCTTTTGATTTTAGGGACAGTGCTTCTAAAAATGTCCTGTTGTCTGGGAAGGTCCACTTTATTGACATAAAGCATGAATAACAGCCTAGTCTGTCCCCCCCCCCCCCCCCCCCCCTTTTTTATTTTTATTTTTTTAGCAAAATAAGAACTGGTGATTGCATATTTTGTGATGAATATAGATGAATAAAATTTTGTTTTGAATAAGCATTAAACATAATGATGCATCTGACTAAGAATTGTAACATTCTCATAGGGGGAAAGCCTTTAGTTAAATATCAAAAGCCCCAATACTTTAGTGAGAACAATGGGTTGCACTTTTTTGGTTTTCGTAACCGAACTGCATCTGTTATTAGTATTATTTATATAAAACAACCCCAACTAATTTTGTTGTTAATTTTTCCAGTCAATCGATTAACGGAAGCAAATTTTTGGGTTGGGTAATAGATAGAAATAAAGGGAAGGGGAAACTCTGTGCTTTAAATGAAATACTTTAATTAATAGGAACTGCACATTATAAAACTTGCTGGGTTCTGTGCCTTAGCCTCTTTCTAAATAATTATAAAAACATAAAATGTTTGCTAATGATCCATATTTGAATAATTTAGATATAGAAGGCTGGTGTTTCAGAGTATTCTTTGTGTACGAGGGAAAATATAGAGATAGGTATATGAAAGACAGCCCTGTTAGTGGTGAGGAGAATACACCCCACTGTTGCACCTGGGACTCGATGTTTGGGTGGAAAAGATAGAGAGGACAGGGAGGGACCGGAGATAGAAAATAGGCCTGAAACACTGACCGCAATCTCAGAGGTATCGGGTTCTGTCTTTTTTTCCCTCCCTCGCCCACCTAATCTTACAGTAACTAAAGAGGCAACCTGCTCAGCAGGTAACCAGGCAACTGAGGAAGTTTATCAGTAAGGTGAACCTTTCTTTTAAACCAGTCAGACATTTAAACAGTCATTAAGCCCAGCTAAATGTGAGGACGATAGCGGAGCATCTCCTGGCAGCTGATGAGCGTCCTAAAAGGCCCATCATATCTTTTAACCTTTCATTTTTGTAAAACTCTATTGATTGCACTCTATGTTCCCTTTAAATTTTTAAAGTTTGTATACCCAACATCACCGTAATTCCATCTCTTTCTTGCCTGCCTGCGTTTCAACTTGCTGCATTAGAAGCTTGATGAGGAGTGTTTTCTCTTAACGGAGCACTTAAGTTTATTACCTTTGGCAGTAGCTATTTTTTGGCTAGTGCCAGGAAATAATGCAGTCCAAAAGCAATGCAAAGATAAATTAAATCACTTGGCCATTGAATTAGCAAAGTCCATCAGATTTTGTTTTATCATTGCACCTCAAAGAATTGTTTGTGTCCAGGTGGATTACTTTTAATCAGTGGCGAGCCAAAGCAGCTTGTACTCCTTGATTCCTGCAGTGAAGCCCCTTGGGGCAAACAAAGCTGCCTTCCACAGACTTAGGCCTGCATTTCTTGCCTCCGGTTCGAGTCACATAGCACAACTTGACTTGGACAGCACTCACCCCCAAGCCGCCCATTCTCCTTTTCTTTCTCCAGCCAGCTGTTACTTCATCACTGCTTTTGTCGCTCTCTGGCTTAAAATCAACTCATTTGCAAAAAGTGCAAACCTTATCCCCCCTGAATCCTCTTGTACAGGGCAAATAATATCAGCATGCAAATTGAGGTTACTTGGGTGGCATCTGTAGCCAAAACATAGGATGTGATTGCCCTTGAGGTTGCAGGCAGAGCAGGAAACCAATATGGAAATCTAATGCTTTGCCTATGGCTTCATTTGTTTCAACCTGAGAAATGTAGCTGCCTAAACACCTTAGAAAGAAAGCAACAAAGAGACCCAGCTTGTCTTCGACCATTTCCCCTTTTTATTTTATAGATAAAGGGGACGTTTTTGCTACTTTCTTTCAGCCAGCTAAGTGTCAGCAGGCAGCAAAAAGTGGGTGAGGAAGAGCAAAGTGTAAGTCTGTGATTTGTGGATCTCTGGTACCACCTCAGATGGATCTTAGAGCTCATTGCAGACTTTGAACAGAACATCCTGAGGGTCAAATATTATTTAAATTACTACAGTTTAATTACTAAATGTCTGTACCACTCATCTATTTATGTTTTAATTTATATTAATACTGTAAATCCCAGCTGCTTTCCAGAGAGTTTTTCCTTTTAGTTTTTGTTTTAGGTAAGGGTCAAGGCTTTGTTGATATAATCTTTATTACATACAACTGGAAAAAACATTTTTTTTTGTTTTTTTACTGAAACCCCTTAAAAACCTCAATATTACTTAAAAGCACTAATCAGCCTAAAGATGGACTTGATCTGGGATTTATAGCATTCAATTCAATTTAGTTTATTTAGGTTTTTGTTTTTATGCATAACTGTGCAAAATTGCTTGAGTGTGCAAACTTCTAAAGAGTGAAACAAGGAAGGCTTTATCTTTGATTTCAGAGTCTTTGTTAGTGTTGTGGTCGCTAAAAAGTTAACCACATACGCAACAAGATGATCATAACAAGAAACACACTTTTCTTTATCCAGCAGCATTATTAAAATTCAGGACAGAGCTCTAAATGTGGAAAAAAGAGCCCTCTGGAAATCTCGCATTTAGTAAAAGAAAATAAGCAGTGTGCAGTAAGCTGATTTGTTTATTGCCACATTATTATTAGTGCTTGTCCTTGCTGCTGCTGCTGCTGACTGTGGCTAACATTATTGTTTTGGATCTATTAGGACCCTAATTCAATCTGTGGCTGCTCAAGCTTTTTTGTTGTTTATGTTCCGAATGGGAAAATAGAAGGAGTAAGGGAGCACAGTAATACTCATGAAATTGCAGCAGGCAGCGTTTTTCTCGTATAATTTTGTTTGGTGATTTGAATGCATTTGCTCCGAGGCAATTACTAATCTATGGATTAGACATACCTGATACGCAAGCAGAAATTGTGAGGACTGAGCAGTGGGGGTAAAAATGCAGGGTGTTTCTATAGCTGCTGCTGGAGTGTCTGGGATATTAATGTGCATATTTTTGAAACACATTTTTGAA